GGCTAAGTGGGTAAGCCAGTAAGAAGCACTCCTCCAGGGCTCTGTTCCTTCATGTGCATTCAGTTCCTTCTTCCACGTTCCAGCCAAGGGGTGCGCTGAACCCTTCAGACGCCACCTGTTTGTGAGCATGGTGTTTTATGTCAGAAACAAAAACCCTCAAGAGAGTAGATGTGAGTGTTTCTGTATGTGTGTTCACTGATTAATATTGTTGCTTGACATATATGGAACGTCCTCTGGTTATTCTTTCTCTACACCTTCTCTTCTCTTCTCCACATACTCACCAATATCCTCAGTCCCTTCCTAGGATCATAATGCTTGGTTTTATTTTGTGACTCAGCACAACTAAGGCAGTCAATGTGTCCGTTGGGTTGGAATTGCCCAGTGAAACCTGGTGGCATCATTGGTGAGCATACAATTAAAAGCTATTCCCTGAGTTCATCAGTGAGGGGTGGGGTCCCTGTTACTTCCCCAATCATTCCTTCCTGCTGATGGGCACATTTTCTGATGTTTCTGTAACTGTTGTGCCTTTGTGTTTGCAATAGCAATACCATATATTTTTAAAACAAAATTATTTTGGAAGATTGAGCTCTATTTTTTTCCACAGTCTTCACAATGAGAAGTTCTTCTGAACGGATTGCACTTTTGGAAATATTTCACCATGCTCAGAACTACTTAATATTGAATAATCTATCAGAAATGGCATATTTTGGGGAAGGGAAAGAAGACTGTTAGCTATAAAGGAGGGAGAATGATTTTTGGTGAATAGCTCAGAATTGGCCAAGATAGAGTCAGATACTGTCTCAACTCGGCCAGCTCCTTACCACTCACCTTGCAGTATTTAATTTATGTGACACAAAGGTATTTTTTTGTAAAAACAAACACTTTCTTTATTTCATAAAGATTGATATTTCCTAAATAAAAGTACAACAACCAAGTTTGAAATTTAGAGACAAAAAGACACAGCTGAAATGTATTAAGAGCTAATTCTATATCAGGTACTCTTTCAAAAGATAATATATGCAGGCACTTTTCAATTTATGATAGAACTATATTCTTATAATCCACTGCAAATTGAAAATATAAGTTGATGGTGCATTAAATGGCTCTGCCTACTGCATAGCATAGCTTAGCAGCCCAACACAGTGAGATGTCAGTCTTATATCTCATGGGGATGGGGAATGTCTGGGAGCTGTAGGCCTGTACCTTTGCTAAGCACCAGGAGATAGGATAGTGTCATGGGACCTAGAGTAGGTCAGAGTTCAGTTCTAACAGATGGATATGGCTTTTGTCCCAGTACAAGGTTAAAAAATGCATAAGTTGTACTATCCCAAGTCAAGGGCCATTTGTACATTCATTCCAGCAGCCCTATGAAGAGGTTAACAGGCAATAAGCAGAGTTATCATGAGAACAGAAATGAGACTTGAATGCAAACATCTCTCTAAATTCTTACCTATCATGCTTAGTCTTTTGATGATGAGAGTGAGAATCGGATATCCTGGGTACATTTCTGTCTCCGTTTCTTATGGGACTTCTTAAATGTGTGCTTGAATATAATAAATACAACACAAAGGTAAAGTATATATTACTAGCATGCCTATTTAGAGTGTTAGTGTTCTATATGAAACGACTCTCTGTGGTAGGGCTGGGGAGATGCCTCAGTGGTGAAGAGTGCTTACCCCTCTTGCAGAAGATCCAGAATCAATTCTTAGAACCCGCCTGGTACTTAGCAGCTACCTAATAACTCCAGGAACAGGAAATCTTATGTCTTTTTCTGGCTGACCTTAAGGGCTCCTCTTGAGAATTGGGCATGCATACATACATTCAGTCACAAGCACATACATTTTTTAAAAAAGCAAATAAATAAATAAATAAATAAATAAATAAATAAATAATCCTTTTCTTACACAGAAATTATTTCGAGTATCATTTTTCTAAATGACAGATGGCCCAGGAAAAGGGAAAGACTAAATATATTATTATAGAGAAAGGATGAAGAAAGCCCACATTTTTCTCTTCATTCCTGTTTTATGTAGTGTTGTTTATGCTCACTTCAGCAGATGGCATGGTTACAGACAGAGGGATGTGAGCAAAGTACGTGGCATCCTTTCCACTCTCACTAGAACATGGGTGGCTGGAATCTAAAAAAGTAGAAATGATGCTCTTTGGAAGTCCAAGGTCTGTATTATCAGCTCAACTCTGAAAACTAACACAGCATAGTCAAGGTCACGGCTTCACTCATTATAAAATGGAAGAATGAATACAAAGGTCTTTTGTTCCAAGTGTTACACAGTATGGAGCTGATTTAAACAAATGCTTGTGGGCTTTCTAAAATATGCCCAAGGAAAAGGTCCTAAAATTTCCTCATCTAGTCTGTGCTATAAAATGTTCATCTAAAATACTTTTTAAAAGCGAAAGCATCAATGTAAAAGTATATTGAAAGACATACTGTATGTATGATATTCTAACACCATGGAAACCCAAGAGCAAAAATGATTGACAGCTGGCAGGTGAAATGGATGGCACCTGGGTTTATTTCTGGCCTGCATGACATAGGAGGCTTTCCCTGGAAAAGAGGCCCTCTGTAGATACAGTGGAAATTGAAGGGTATGTGTACGACCACTCTGATCACAGATGGTCAGGAACTATATGTAAAGGGTTTGTTATTGGTTTTCTTTTCATTTTTGTCTGACATCTGATGTTAGGGTTTCTAGTGCTGTGATAAAACCCCATGACTAAAAGACACACCTTGGGAGGAAATGATATATCTGGTTTATACTTGCACGTCACAGTCCTTCATAAAAGGAAGTATGGGCAAGAACTCAAGGTAGGGATCTCGAGGCAGGAACTGAAGCAGAAGGCATGGGGGAACACTGCTTATTTGGCTTGTTCCTTAGAGCCTGCTCATCAGGCTTTCTGATACACTGTAGGATCACCTACCCTGGTAGCACCAGTCAAAATGGGCTGGGCCCTCCCACATAAATCATTAGTCAAGAAATACCCCAAAAGAAAGTTACCTACAGACCGATCTTAAGGAAACATTTTCTCAGTTGTGGCTCCCTCTCTCGGATTACCTAGTTTATGTCAAGTTGACAAAATATACCAAAATATACCATCCACAACGATCTCCTCAAAATAATTCATTATTCTTGAGAAACATAACTGAGGTTCATTCAGAGCTCTACCACTTACCACCTATAGTAGGCTTACATTTTATTAACCTTTGTCTCTTTGGTATATATGAGAATAATAATATTTAAAGTTTTTATGAAGTATAGATGAGCCAAATGCAAGTAAAGCACTCATCAGTGTGGTTAGCCCATAGAACCCAGAATAGTGTATCTATAAATACTCACATATGCAGAGATCATAAATTGGATTTCTCTCTGGAGAAAACCCTGAGGCTATTACTTTTTATAACATTTGGACAAAGAAATAGAAAAGAAATAGCACATTTTATTTTGAGCAATTTGGCCCGTCCTGGCTACACTGAGAATGAATTTCATTATATTCATGGGCCCCTTCCTTTCAAAGATCACTGAGGCATAGCTATTGATGATTAACAGTAAATGTTCCAAATAATAATTGGAATTAAAATGAGTAGAAACCATGGTTTAAACTTAGATATGGAGAGGTTCACTGTCAACAAAGCTCCTGCAATCTGAGGTCCAATTTCTCTGCTAATTAAGTTCCTTGAGAAAAATAAAATAACCTTTCATTTTTAATCTGATTAGAATAATAGGCCTTTTGTTGGGAACAATACAGGTGTTGATGTCACACTCAGAATTCAGTTTTGCGATGCAGTTTTCATGGGGGTTTTCTGAAAAGCTTTTTGATCTTTCATTTAGAACAGTTAAAATTATGTGACTTCTCTGCCCGAATGGATCTGTAGGCTTTGTGTTTGAATTTGTGATTGAATATTTGCAATAATGGTGTGTGTTCTTGAGACCTGTGTCCCCAAACTGCATTTCAGAGAAAGAATCAAAACTGTAAAGACAAAACCCCAAACCCAAATCAAAACAATACGCTCTTATAGTTAACTCACATCACATCCCATTTGCTGGTTAGAAGGAAAATGTTCGTGTGAAAATACATTTTTTTGTGACATTAATTGTGCTGGAGAACCCAAAAGGGCCTACTCAAATAGGAAGTGTTTCGGGATGCACTATTGCTGACAGCTTACTGATTTTAATTTAAGAATAAGACTGCATCTGCATAGTAATTTTACAGCACAGAGGGTTTGTTTGCATTGCTCTTCATGAATATTTGAAAGGCTAGAACGAATTAAATAATTATTTGCTAGTTTTTGTATGGACAGGAAGATAAAACTTTGAGATTAAACGATGTGGGAAAGATAGTCTTGTTCTAAAAAGAACGTGGAGTAACAACACTCCCCATTTTTTACAATGACGTAATTGTTTTATAAAGTAGCATAACTGTATAAAAATCATAAGGACCTATAAAAATTTGGAGACATATATACTATTTTACATTGGTATAGAACACAGAAGGAGAGAGAGGCAGGACAGGAAGGTAGCAAAGTCACAAAAGTGGTTGTTTGATAAATTATTTGCTATCGTGGATAACTAGGCTCAATCCCCCAAGGATTTCCTGAAAGTAAGGACCACTATGCCTGAGAGTATGGGTCACTGTCCCTAGCATGCAGGATTTGTCCAGCCAGACACTCCACTTTCCACGTCATTGCAAGTCACGGCAAAGTCTGAGGAAGCCGCTGAAGCTGGTTGCAGGGATGTATAAGGGATAGCTGAGTGACTGGAGTGTCAGTTATGGGTGTTAGAACAGAACAAATTTCCAGAAAGATGTATTAACATTGAAACAGACTACTTGGCAAGAATCAAATTTCATCTACAGGACTTACTTCTTCCTCTCAGCATCCATCCCTAAGCATATGAACGTCTCTTGCATAAAAGCCATCCATGGCCAGTGAAGCCTACAGCGTTTTCCATGGCTCCTCTCATCTTCAGCATCACTCTTCATGACAAATGGGCCAGACTCCTACTTCTTCCATCACCCCTCGGAATGAGTCAGTTGTTCTTCCACACCTAACGTGTACACGGTGCTGTTGAAATGTTAAGTTTTAACAAGCAATAAAATAGAGGGGGAAGAAAAGGAGAATCCTAACACCAGAAATCTTGTATCAAAAAGAGGGGGTTGGATAGATGAGACCTTAGTTAAGAGCACTTGCTGCTCTTTCAAAGGATCATGGTGGGATCCCAGAACCTACATGGTAGCTCACAACTACATGTAATTCCAGTTCTAGAGGATATGAGGCTCTCTTCTGGAATCCACAGACACTACCCACCCTAGAGTACATACGTACACCCACCCTTCAACATTCATATGCATAAAATAAACATAAATCAGCCTTTCTTTAGAAGCAGAAGAAACAAACAAAGGAACAAAGAAGCAAACACAAAGTAGACTTAATCACTAGCGGTTGTACGGGACAAAATGAAGTTCATTAAAAGAGTGTTATCAGGGGAGGGGGGGTGTTATGAAAAATCTTTCTGCCAGTGGCCTGATCCCCAAGGCAACGTTGGCGCCCAGAATGACACACAGAGTCTTATATTATTTACAATGCTGCTGGCCAATTGACTAGGATTTCCTATATGCTAGCTCAGTCTTAACTATCATAAATCCATATTTTATAAGACTTATCTTATCGAGGATGCCTTCCACTGGCATCCTCTTCCCAGAATCACATGGCGACTCAGTAGAGAAGAGAGCAGGAGGAAGAGCAAGAGCAAAGAGGGAAATTTCCTGCTTATATTCCGAGTCTGCCTGCTATGTCACTTCCTGCCTGGATCACAAGACTTCTTTACTACATTTCCCAGAATCCTCCTTGACTCCTAGTCCCACCTATCTTGCTTCCCTATTGTCCAACAGTACTTAATTTATCAAACAATAAGACAAACACATACACAGAAGGACCTTCCCCACCAGGGGGTATCATTTTGCATACAGTTATGAAGACTTGCAAAGGCTGTAGTGAGGGAGTAAAACCACATAGACACCACAAAGAAAGCATTCAAGATGTGACACTTGACACCTCAGTCAGTATTAGGCCTTTAGCCAGTGCTGTTACTGAGGCCAGAAGCAACAGAAAACAATCATAAGGGAAATGCCAGGAACCAGCTTACATTTTTCAAGAGAGGATCAAAGCAAAAAAAAAAATCATTGAGGGGACAATTTAATATGTTAGATTGATTTCTAGGTATGTAATCAAGAGGTTACAGTGTAATTCAAGTGATTGTTTACATGTATATACACTGTGAATACTATGAATACTCTATCTCTGTGTGTGAATACAGACATTTTTTGTTGGCTGTATGTACACATTTCTATGTTCAATGTGTTATGTGTAAACACTCATTTATATTACTTTTTAGTAATTTGAAAATTAGTCCATGTTGATTCCTTAAGAACAATTTGTATTGTTTCCCACTGAAGCAAAATATGCTTAATAAAGCTAGATTCTAATCCTGATGGAAAGAATGAGATGTCACTATATTTGTTTTCTTTAAAATATCAGTGTGTGTGTGTGTGTGTGTGTGTGTGTGTGTGTGTGTCTATTGTATGAATCAACAGTTAATGTTTTTAACGGAGTAACCATGGAGTCAATATCTGGTTAGAGTGGCCATATTATTGACTGGGACTGTTGTCTCAATTATTGTTGGAACAGTAATCTACAGACCAGGGGGCTTAAGTGTATCCCCATAGAACTTTCTATGGACACTAAACTTTGAATTTATGAGAATTTTTCATTTCTAAAACTGAGTAAGCTGTGTGTATTCTTTTTTTTTAAATTTCGTTTCAACCACTTAATAATATAAAAAGATTCTCAATATACACTTTGTATAAAAACAAGAGGACACCAGTTGGATGTGGTCCACACGATATGGCTTCTGGAATTAAGTAATTAAGGGCTTACTGAGATCCTTGATCTCTATGACATTGATGTACTCTGACTCTGGTTTTAAAGTCTTCATTGGCTGGCCTTCTCTTTCTTTGTGAAACTGATGTTCATCTTCATGGAACTCCTTCCTGAATACTCTGCATCATGCAATCAGAAAAGACCAGAACAACATCCTGGCCTCCTTCATAGCATTGACCTTTTCAAGGTGAAATCAAAGCTCTTGGACTTCTCTCAGTGCTAGTGAAACTACCCCCAGTTACTCTTGTCTAATGTTTTCTCTTCTGTTAGCAGCTAATTTTCCAATTATTTCCAGTGAAATGAACACAAGCTAAACAAAAGAATGTTGCCTGCCTATAGAATGCTTTGAGAAACTATGAAGAATAAATTTGGGAGGTGGGCATTGTAGGTTTATTTTACTGTTTTCTCTTTGCTGAAACAGAACCTCGTCAGTTACCATACTACCTGGTTTGATGATCAGCTAATCTTTATTTCCCATGATGATCAGTGCTTAATTAGCATGTTCAACTACACATGAAATCATTTCTTTAGTTCTTAATTTCTATAAACTGTTATACATAGATGAGGCCATTGAGAAAAAAACTAACCATTACCCCAAAAGATTTTAAAATTACAAAAGTAAGCAGAGATATTAAATCAATACTATAAATCTACTTCTGTCTCAAAATGGAACCTAACAAAGCTAGCCAGAAAATATGTTATTAAATTAAAATAATTTTTCATTTCTTCCCAAATGACTTTATTCAAACCATTCTTTCCCACAAGTATCCCAAATTGCATTCTAATTGTGTTTTTCTATAAGATTATGTTATATTATGCTTATTCAATTTGATAGAGGGACAAACCATCTAGAATGCTAAGGAAACACTAGATAATGCAAAATATAAGCAGCACCACACTTCTTTCTTTCTTTTTTATTTTATTAGTTCAAATTAGGAACAAGCTTGCTTCAGATATCAATCCCTTCTCCCTCTCCCTCCCCTCCCCCCAACATCCCACCTGCCCCTAGCCATCCCCCCTCCATTCCCCAGGCAGGGTAAGGCCCTCAAAAGGGGCTCCCAAAAGTCTACCCATCATCCTGGGCCAGGCCTAGGCCCTTCCCCATGTGTCCAGGTCAAGACAGCATCCCTTCAAATGGGATGGGCTCTCAAAATCCCTTCTTTTTTTTAAGACCTTACATATTTAATACCCCTGTACAAATGGGAAAAACATTTATAGACCAATTAAACATTTAAATATTTCTAGACCAATATGGCTGTTAATTTTTGTACAATGCCAACTCAGCACAGTAAACTGGGATACTTTTTTCCAAAGTTGACAGCACAGCTAAAGTTAACAAAAATTCAAATTATATATGTGTATATATATTTATATTTATATAAAAATACCAATAATGGCAGTATGTTAACATTAAAAAAAAAAAAAAAAGAAAAAAAAAAAATCCCAGAAAAACAGCACAGTAACAGCACAGTTCTGTTACTCTTGTGGAACCTGGCACCATTTTTTGTTTAAATTAGCTTCTCAATCATCATCTGGAAGGAAACCATTCTGAGCAACAACATTAAAAACAGCTCTGATAAAGCACAGTCACTATTATGTATCATAAAGCAGGTCCATATATGAGTGAGTACTTATCATGCCAGTCTTTTTGTGATTGGGTTACCTCGCTCAGCTCAGAATGGTTTCTTCGAATTCCATCCATTTTCTTGCAAATTTCAAGATTCCATTGTTTTTTTTTTCTGCTGAGTAGTTCTCCATTGTGTAAATGTACCACATTTTTGTAGATGAAAATATATTTAACCTTTACTTCTGAATCCCTAATTCTGTTGATATTTAAAAAAGTTTAAGGGTTAGAAAGATAGCTCAGTGGTTAAAAGTGCATACCACTCTTGTAGAGTTCCACAGTTCTGTTTCCCATCATCCAAACCAAGGAATAGGCAACAGCTGCCTATAACTCCACCTCTAGGATTTCCTACGTAATCTTCTTGCTCTATTGGCACTGTTATTCAGAGCCACACCCTTCCACATTCTCTCATACCCACACAGAAAAACATAATTTTAAAAAATAGAATAAAACTTTTAAAATATTATGTTTATTCCTATCAAACTGAATGAAGCTTGTACCTTTTAGCTGCATGAATTCCCTGAATGACTACAGACCAAATGTAAATGCAGATATTCCAAAGTGACAAGGAATGCATTTCAAATGAATTACTCAAGTAAGGGAAGTATCTTTTAAGGATTTATTTATTATGTATACAGTCTATACAGTCTATACAGTCTATATAGTCTTCTGTCTGCAGGCCAGCAGTGGGCACCGGATCTCATCCATGGTGGTTGTGAGCCATCATGTGATTGCTGGGAATTGAACTCAGGACCTTTGGAAGAACAGTCAGTATTCTGAACCACTGAGCCATCTCTCCAGTCCTGAGCAAATTGAGAGCACGGGAAGAAGGGGGAGTGAGTTACGAGAATGAGAAGGGAAGAAGAGGAAGGATGCAGAGGTCATGAGGGAGCAGAAAGTTTGAGTCAGGTGAAGAATAGAAGAAAGGCTATGTGATAGGTAAGGTTTTAGTTAGAGGGATGGTAGGGGAGAACCGGAGGGAGAAGGGAACTGGGATTGCCATGTAAATCAATCTTGTTTGTAATTCAAATAAAAAATGATAAAAAAATAAAATAAAATGAACAAAAAATAAGGGAAATAATAGTTAATTCTGTAAATACTCTGTTTTGTATAAATTTATCCAAATATCAAACAAAACTCCATGAAGGTAATATAATTCTGGGATTTCAATAAAATCACTGTATGTAATGTTTAAAAACTGTGTTTAACTGAACCAACTTAGGAAATTTTCATTTTCTACCTCCCAGGCTCTGGACTGAATGATGGGCAGTGGCATGAGGTTCGCTTCCTGGCCAAGGAAAACTTTGCAGTCCTCACCATTGATGGAGATGAAGCATCAGCAGTTCGGACCAATAGTCCTCTTCAAGTGAAGACTGGCGAAAAGTACTTCTTTGGAGGTAGGAACACCATGGTCTAGGTTAGCCAATGCTTTACTTGAAAAAAGATTTTAAAAGTCTCCAAAAGTTTGTAAAGTATTTTTATTTAACTCAAGGAACCCAGTAGGTCTTAGGATAAAAAAAAAAGGAAGGTATAATTCCACGAATTTAAAAAGTTAAAGAAGCTGCTGCTTCACAAAAATACTATTAGTATAGGGTAGCCCCAAATCGTCAGAGCATAAAGCATGAGAGTCTGTGTAAGTCCCATAATACTCTCTTCTAGGATCAGTGATTTCACTTCAGATTGGTCACTCATTATATAGAAAATTCTCCTAAACTTTAGTCAACACCCAAGCGTCTGTTTGTATGAATATGTATTCCTATCTTGCATGTGCATCTTGTTTTCCTGGAGTTGTTAGAATAATTCTACCTGAGAGCACTTACCATGTCTGTCAAGTTTCCTGCCCTAACTCCGAGTCCTAAAGAACTTCCTGGAATATGACAGGTAGCAAATAAATATTTATGAATGAATTAGTAAGCTCTGTAAAGTAGAAAAGATAAACATTTTATTTTAAATCATCTGGAAGAAGAAGCACATGACCTGGTAGCTACTGACTCCTGAATATGAAACCATGTGCTCCTATCTAGGGAGTTTCTACCACTGTGGAGGGGTAACATGTTCTGAGTTTGTCCTGAATCATTAATAATCCATTTTTATTTGGTGTTCTTAGTACATGTTTTAGAGGTTCTCAGTGAATATTTGGTGAGTCAACGAAAGTGAGACAAGGTGTCCTCTGAGTGAAGAAATGGACTTGATTGACATAAACAAAAGTCATTCATTCAAATACTAGTTTCCCTCCAAGTGTGTGTTGAACATAATCAGCTTTGGGCCAAGAGTTCCCAGGGTTGTCATAGTAAATGGATTGCATTTGTCAGCAGAAAAGCTTTTGACAGTCTCCACTAATCTCCCAACTGGATTGCTGCTGGCCATGGATGAGGTCACCAAAGGCCTATAGCAGTTCCTATCCATCTCAGTCCAGTGGATAGACAAACTACTAGAGCCTCACATGAGTGGTATACATTATAGGATTTAGTGTGCTGTACTTTATTGCTTTATAGATTTGAGTTTCAAAACCCTGTCAGGAGAATCTTGACTTTCTCTTGGGCCTGTGTTCTGCCTTCAAGTTATGCCACCAGCATAGGATCATGATGGTTTTTTGACTGTATTTTCATCAACTGAGTCCTCCACGTGCAGAAAAAACACACTGCAACTCCAAATCTCATGCCTAACTGCTAAAACTTTAACATACAGGGTGAGGTACTGAGTCACTGAAGAATTATAAGCTTCCAGGGATTCTAAGATATACATTATCAAGAACAGGATTCAGGTGGACCTGAACTACTACCCTGCCCCCTGAAAAAAAGCAGCTACCAAAAGTAGGAAAGAAGAAAGGATAAATAATGGTGTTCCTGGTTTCTGAAAACCCTAAGTAAAGGCTTACAATAAGTGAAGTTTGTAGACACAGTTTCTGTCCTGCCTGGTCCACTGCCCTTCAGCCCCAAATAAGGACACAGAGGCATATTGGCTTAGGCTTCTTATTGGCTAACTTTGTCTTAATTTTTAACCCATTTCTATTAATCTATGTATTGCCACGAGGCTGTAGCTTGCTCATAATCTGGCATGTTACTCCTTTGGCAACATGGCATCTCTCCCTGGAAGCCTGTCTGCCTCCCTCTCCCCAGCACTCTCCTATCTGGGTTAGCCCCACCTATACTTCTTACCTGGCTACTGGCCAATCAGTGTTTAATTCATCAACCAATAAGAGAAACATATATGCTGAAGGGCATCCCCCATCAGATGTCCTGGTTGTGTTGCACTGTCTTTCAGTAGAGTGTGCTCCTACATTTCTGTGCCTGCTCACTGGAAATTCTAGGACAGGTGAGATTAATGATTGTACCCTTTCTTCACTTTGTTCTTGTGTGAGAATAAGCAAATCAAAAAGAAAGTAATCTTTGGGGTTATTTCTCTAGCAAAGGAGGTCACAGATGGTTTAGTTGTTATCTCTACCTCTCAACTGAAATTCCTTAACACTTCATTAATTTTAATAACTGAGATAATAATAAAAGAGGCAATTATATTTATTTATCAACCAATTACTGTATAATAAGCTTTTACATACAAGCCAGGGCCCATGGTTATATGAGTACTGCTTTAAATTTCTAACATTATTTAGGTCATTATTTTGAATATCCTCTTTGTTTGCATTTGAGAGGAAACAGCTGTGGTAAGAAAGTGTTGGCTAGTGTTGAAAGGGGAAGTCTAAAGAGCATAAGTAGGGCATGCAGCTCACAAGAAGGTGACAGTTGGGGGAGTCAATGGGACATGCGAGCTTTCTGAGTTTCATAGTACTGATACTAGAGAGGTTTAATGGAGGCGGGGAGGACCATTCATTTCTAGTTGCTAGTTTATACCCACAAATAAACACATGCCTAGCCATTGCCCCCTACAGTAGTAGAGCCATATCGAGTGAGTGGCTTTAACCAGACACATTTATTTCCCCTAGTTTTCTTTCTGAAGGAAAACAGTGCAAATACAAAGTGCTGTTAGATGGAATCTGTTGAGGACTGTCTTCCTGAATTTCATACTGTCCTTTTATTATTGTGTCTTCACAATTTGTAGGATAAATGGATGACTAGGAGGATATTTATTGAAAGAACAAAAGAATCTCCTCCATGTCTGCTATTTTTTACTGTTGTTGTTTTGTTTTGATTTTTTTTATAAATTTTATTTAAATTAGAAACAATCTTATTTTATATATCAACCAGTTCTCTCTCTCTCCATCCTCTCATGGCCCCCACCAACCCCTATCCCATCCATTCCTGCACTAGGGATAAATACTGGTTCCACTGCCAGAGGCCCCATAGACTGCCCAGGCCTCCTAGCTGACACCCACATTCAGGGGGCCTGGTTTGGTCCTATGCTGGTTTCCCAGCTGTCAGTCTGGGGTCCATATCCTCCCACTTGTTTAGGTCAGCTGTTTTTATGGGTTTCCCCAGCCTGGTCTTGATCCCTTTGTTCCTCACTCCTCCCCCTCTGCAACTGGATTCCAGGAGTTTGGCTCAGTGCTTAGCTGTGGGTGTCTGCTTCTGCTTCCATAAGCTACTGGATGAAGTCTCCAGGAAGGGATTTAAGGTATACATGATTCTCATTATAGGGGAAGGGCATTTAAAGTAGCCTCTCCACTATTGCTTAGATTCTTAGTTGGGGTCATCCTTGTGGATTTCTGGACATTTCCCTAGTGCCAGATTTCTCTTTAAATCTATCAAAACTCCGCTCCCTCTATTAAGGTATCTCTTTTCTTGCTCTCCTCTATTCTTCCCATACTAAATCCATGTCTGTTCTTATGAGGAAGCTATTCACATTGTGAGGATTCCACCCTCATAGACTAATTACCACACTGAATCTGTCAATTTCAGACTCATACCATGGTAGGGGGGATAACTTTTCCATAGGTAAATTCTGAGGAGGGCACACAGGTAGTATGTAACAGTAGTCTTTCAGTCCTCACTGAGAATGACCAGAAGTTAAGTAGCTAACTAGATGGATATGTAAATAATTACAAATAAAAAGTATTTCCCTATTGGATTTATTTAGGAGGACTTCCTAGGTCTTATAGTCCTTTCTTATTCATGAAATCATTCCAGCCTTCCTTTATACATCTGGATCTCTGAAAAGTCCTTATGAGCCCTACAAGCTCTGTAAATTTGTCCTGTAAAGCTTCAAGATGGAGTATAAGAAACCCCCCGGTTGACTGGTCCATTGCACAATATTTGAATAACTTGGAAGCACCTGACTGGCTAAGGTCCACATTCTTTTAGGAGTCTAAAGTTTGTTTTCTAATTTCTTTTTGTTTCACTCCAAAAATCACAGCAACAAGAAGTATTTTATCAAGTGAATATTTTTCAGTGATTTGAAAATGGAAGCCTGGGTAAAGGATTTTTTGTGTGCATTAGATTCATAGGGCTGCTATAACAAGGTACCATAAACACAGTGACCTCAACCAGCACTCATTTATTCTCAGTTTTGGATACAGGACATTTAGAACCAGGGTATGAGGCATCAGAAGGTCTGTGTTTTCTTTGGAGGATGTAGGGAAGGAGTCTTTGACTTTGATAGCTAGTGACAGTTTTGGCAATCCTGTGACCGGCCTTCATGTCTGCTTCTATCTTCAAAGCCTTGGAGTGTCCGTATCTGTTTCCTTCTGATAAGGTCACCAGGCACAGATTTAGAGCCTGCCTTACTCTCACTTCATCACCCCCTGGATATCTCTGTGGGAACACTATTTCCAAATTAGAACACATGCCCAGGTCTAGCTTAGAAAATTAGCACACCTTTTGGAGCAATACAGACAACCTATAATAAGCTGTGTAAGTCCCTCTGGGTTGGTTGGTTACAGTCCTCATCACTGTGACTTAATACAAGACAAAACTGAAGAGAGGGGCGTTTTATTACTATTCACAATCTGAGGTCATTCCTAGCAGGGAAGTTGTGAGGCCAGGTAGTGCTGTAGAGACAGAAGCATATGGCAGCTGCCTGCTCACTTCATATTGGACAAGAAAGCAGAGAGGAGAGTAAAGCATGGCTGAGCTGTCACTCTCAAGGCCTGCACATTAGAATTCTACTTGCTCCAGCAAAGCCCCTCTCCCAAGTGTTTCTCAGCATCCCCAAAACAGTACCATTAGTTGGGGTCCAAGCATTCAAATACATGAACCTATGGGGGGGCATTTTACATTTAAACTATGACACTTTATAGTTACCATACATACTCCCAACTCTGATTTTCCTATTATCTGTTTTCAGTTAAACTCCAATAACAAATTTAAGAAACTATAGCTAAATAGAAGAGTCAAACAAGCACCATCAGGGGAAACTAGAGGCTAGGGCATGTTGGGTGAAATGATTGCTGTTGGCTAAATTTACAAATAGAATTCTGTAATGTGACCTCTAAAATAGTGTTGAA